TGGGAAAGCGCCAGCTGGGTTTGGGTGAAGGCTGCGGAGCTGGGGACACTTTGATGCCAGCGGCCGTGGGTGGCACAGAGGTGCTGGCACCCGGGCAGGGCTGGCCGGGCGGGTGATGCTGTGGGGCTGCCTCACCCGAGCAAGGCAAAGGGAGCGGGCCAGGGTGGGTGGCTGTGGCACTGAAGCTGCTTTCTCTGTCTCTCCCCTAGAGCCCTTCCTCTCTGGAGACCGTGGCTGCCCCGAGCCCAGGAGGGACCCGCGCCACGGCGGGAGGAGATGGACGCTGTGAGTTTGGCAGTGTCCCCATGCCCGTGGGGTCCCTGCTGGCACACAACCACCCTCTCAGTCACTTTGTCCCACGGAGTCCTTTGTCCCAGGGCCGTGCCGTGCCCAGCTCCCCTGGAGCACCGGCGGAGCCTCTGAGGGGACACGGCCACAGCAGCCCTGAGGGGGCCGCCTGTTCCCAGCCGGGCGGGCATTCCTCAGGGCGTTAGCGGCATGCCTGGGCACCCGCTCTGGAGCACGGGGCAGAGATTACACTGGCAAAAAGCCCGTCAGGAGGGTGTGGGGGTAGATGCCAGCTTCCCTGCGGTGCTGCGAGCCCTTCAGCTCGGGGGCAGGGGAGGGGGGAGTCGCTGTGTGTGTGGCACCCCGGTGCCAGCCCGGGCAGCGGGAGCCCGGTACCACCCGGCTGTGTCTCCCCAGGCTCGGGCAGCGGAGGGGCACGGCGGTCCCAGCAAAGCGCTGGCGTTCTTCCAGCACCCGGTCAGGTACGTGCCCTGGCCCCGGGGCCGCGGGCGGGCGCGGGGGCGCGGCGGGCGGGGGCTCACTCCGGCTCTCCCCACACAGGCTCCTCTGGCCCAAGTCCAAGGCCTTTGACCACCTGTATAGCGTGGGGGAGAAGCTGCTGGAGAACTTCCCGGTGCAGGCCACCCTCTTCTTTTATGAGGACTCGGGCAGCGAGGAGGAGGATGAGGAGGAGGAAGAAGAAGAGAGGGATGATGAAGAGGAGGAGGCGGCAGGGGATATGACCGCGGGGCACCCGCGGAATGCTGGCAGCCCCGACCCCAGCAGTCCGGCGTGAGGCAACAGGCAGGGGAAGGCAGACAGCGCTGCGTGCGGCAGCGGGGCCAGACCCGCCCGGAGCCCCGGCCAACCCCCGGGGCCGCCCCCGGGCCGCACCCGCTCTCCGCGGAACCACGGCGGAGCTCAGGACTACAGCTCCCAGCGACCATCGCGGCACCGCCCGGCAGCTGCAGCCCGCTCTGATTGGCTGCCGATCCGTCCCGAGCAGAGGGAGGAGCGCGTGGTCCCGCCCACCTTCCCGCCCCGCATCCCCATTGCAAGAGGAAGGCGGCGCGCGCGGGCCGCGGAAGGACGCGATTGGTCGAGGGGCAGGAGGGGGCGTGTCGGGGGCGGGGCCTCCCCTCCCCTGCCCGTCGGCGGGAGGGAGAGGCTGCGGCGGGCGCGGGGCCGCCATGAGGTACCGGCGGGGCGCGGGGTGCGGCCGCGGGGCTGGGGGGAGGACAGCTGAGCCCTGGGACCGCGGCTGCGGGGCTGGAGCGGGGATGAAGGGGCTGGTACCGCGGAGAGGGGAGCCGGGAGCGCTGGGACTGGCGCGGCGTGTCTGGGCGCGCGGCGAACAGAGAGCGGCGGAGACGAGGAGGACGTGTCGGTGGGGCGGAGGGTGGGGCTGGAAGGACCCCGCACAGCCGGGGAGGTGGGGCTGGAGGACCCCGCTGTGGGGTGACAGGGGACATGGGGGTCCCTGTTGTAGGGTGGCAGGTGAGCTAGGGGACCCCGCTATAGGGTGGCAGGTGAGCTAGGGGACCCCGCTATAGGGTGGCAAGTGAGGAAGGGGACCCCACTATAGGGTGCCGGCTGAACTAGGGAGCCCCACCATGGGATGGCAGGTGAGCTAGGGGACCCCGCTATGGGGTGGCAGGTGAGCTAGGGAGCCCTGCTATGGGGTGACAGGTGAGCTAGGGAGCCCTGCTATGGGGTGACAGGTGAGGAAGGAGGGGGACCCCGCTGTGGTGTGACAGGTAGGCAGAGGGGCTCTGCCATGGGGTGGCAGGTAAACTGAGGGTCCCTGTTGTGGGGTCACAGGTCAGCTGGGGATCTCAGCTGTGGGGTGACACTTAGGCTTGAGGGCTCTGCTGTGGGGTGGCACCGAAGGCTGAGGGGGGACTGGAAAGCCCCTTCACACCTGGGCAGGTGGGCTGGGGGTCCCAGCTGCAGGGTGACAGGTGAGCTGGGGGTCCCAGCCGTGGGGTGGCTCTGGGAGCCGAGCGCAGTGGGGATCATTGGGAGCTGGGTTTGGGCACAGAGGGGCCGGAGTGGCACTGCCAGGGCAGCGTGACAGCAGCCAGGGAGCAGGGTGGGGTGTGACGGCTGTTTTGGGAGGGCGAGGCTTCCTGCCCTGTCAAGCGTAGCCGGCCGTAGCCTCTTCTCCTCGCCGTGGATCTTGGCACGGAACAGCCCCAATATTGCTGGCATCCAGCTGGCACCGCGGCTACGTGATGCTGCCACAGTCAGCACCCTCCCTGCGTGCCGTGGCGCGGCACGGGGGGCTCGGGGGGACTGGGCCACCCCCAGGCTGTCGAGGAGGTGCCACCTCCCAGTGTGGACCCCCGTGTCCCCTCGGGGTCCGCGGGGAGCCGGCTCCAGGCACGCTCCGTGTTTTCCCGGCACGATTTCCTCCTTTGGCAGCAGTGACGGGAGCGGGGGCGGAGATGGGGGGAGCCTGGGGGAGACACAAATGTGCGACTGCAGCATCCTCACTCCCATGGCTGCATCCCTCGCGCCTCCTCACGGTTGCCTTAGCAACCTCCTATCGATGGGGTATTTATAGAGGATGGGAAGCCGGAGGGGGGGCATCGGGAATGGGTGGGCGTCTGCTAGGTCAGCCTCCAGCTTCAGGCTTCTCTCGGCTTGCGTGGGGGCAGGAGGGATGCTGCTCCCCTTGGCGTCAGTGTGTGCGCTGCTCCAGCTTTTCCTGCTCGCTGGAGCCAGGGGAGGTGGCCAGGAATTTGCATGTGGAAATAAAAATAAGCGGCTGGGACGTCTGCCCTTCTCACCGGCATTGTTTGTGCTTGGAGGCATGTGTGCAGCTCCCTGATTGTGGCACTGGGTGCATTGACACAGATACGTGGAAGAAAGTAAAAGAGTGTAAATTAAATGAAACGGCATTAAATTTGTGGTCTGTTGTGTGACGTGAGAATATCCTTCTTTCTGTGTCTTTGTTCTCCTGTCCATCAGAGGGGGAGGATGCCTGTAACAAGGAGGGTTTGTGTGGAAACTGTGGCATGTGCTCTGTGCCATGCTTTCTTTAATCCTGGGGCTTTGGGTCTCTTTGTAAAAACTGATGAGAGCAGAAGTGGGTCAGGTGGTCCCTGCTCAGAGCCTGTGGGGGAATTCAAGGATCCAGAGGCCTCTCACATCCCCCAGCAGGGCTCAGAGAAGTGGGGTTGGGCTGTGGGGCACTGGAGGCAGCAGATCCCTCCCTTCTGGTACTCTGCTGCTTTCCCTCACTCCTGCTTCCACTCCACATTGAGGTTTGCAATCTGAGCTTCCCAAAGTGTTGGGAAGAAGCTGCTTTCTCTCTCTGGACACAGCTCCAGGCTTGCATGTCCTCTTGGCACTTGGAGGTGTAGGAGCCTTGGAAAGCACAGCAAACCTGATGCTGGCAGGGACAGGTGCTGCATTTACTGGAAGGTGGCTGTTGTGAGGTGTGCTGGCGTGCAGCATCAGCCCTTCTGGCTGTGCCTGCCTTTCATGTGAAAGGAGAAGTGTGTTTCCAGCCCCCCTGAGAACAGCTCTGTGCTGTCCCTCACCTCACTCCAGCAGAGCAGATCCAAGTGCTTTGGGGATAACTGGATATCTGAAGTCCTGGGCCTGAGACCAGCATGTGGTTTAGTTCCTGCTGTTTCTAACCATGCCTGCTCCTTCACCTGCAATAAATCCCTGCAGGAGCTGGGCAGTCCTGTCTGCTCTGACTCCTGACAGAGTTGTGGCTTTGCTACAGCAAGTGTCACAGCAATAGTCAGCCAGGGCACTCTGATCTGTGGGGCATGGAGCACAGGGAGAAGACAAAGCATGGAAAACAAGCAGATATCCTCTGCTTCTGCAGGGCTTCATGGAACTTCTGTGGGGTTTTGTTTAGTTCAGTCTTGCTTTTGAAGCACAAAAATTGCTTGTCCAGCTGGAGAGCTGTTGTCCTGGGTGTGCAGGCAGCTCTGTCACTCTTGCTGCTGCCCTTAGCTTGGCCCAACCACCAGATTGTGGGTAGGAGTTGCAGAAGTGAGAACTGGCATGTCTGTGAAGTTGCTCTAAAATAAGATGATTGCTTCACCTGTATCCATCAATCTCTTGTGGAAGGGAAGAGCACCAGGCTGCTCCCAGCAGTCTGTGACATGCAGGTCATCTCATCTGCTGGTGAGAAATGGAGCCTATCCCTCATCCAGTTTTTCCTTCATCCAGTCTGCAAGGGCCCTGCTTCTCCCTAGGAGCTGAGGGTGCCCTGAGCCCCTCCAGCCACCCCAGGCAGGTGAGGAGCAGGGAGGCAGCTGGAGTGTTTGGCTCTCTGCAGGGGCACTGCTGGGATCTGTGGTGGGTCCACCACTCAGCACCATGCTTTCTGCATGAATCTGATCCTGGGTGATGGAGGCTTGGGCTTTGAAACTGGGTGGAAATTTAAGCTGTCAGTGACTCTCTGTTTTCTTCCCTGCAGGTAGGCAGGAGCCCCCCTTGGCCGAGTGAGGCAGCATGGCAAGTAAGTGGTCCCAGGCAAGGCGGAGAGGTGCCGGTGGTGCTGGAGAGAAGGGGGATGTTTGACAGCCACCTCTCAACAAAGGGGTGCCTGTGCATTTTGGGGGGTGTTATCCTCTCTGGGGAGCAGCTGCCATCAGCTGTTGGCCCTGGGTGAGGTCTGAGGTCTGAGGTCTGGCCTGACTTGTGCTTCTCTCTCCCCTCTGCAAGGTGGGAGTCGAGAGGAGGTGCTGAAGGTCTGACCTCTGCAGCATTTCTGTCTCTGTGTGCTGCTTGCTGTGCAGGACAGGCCTCCCCAGGGCTCTCTGGGCTGCCTGTCTGCTCTGACATCTCTCACCAGCAGTGCTCCTCATGCCCATGCCCACCCTGGGGGCCACACTGCCCTGTGTGCCCGGTGGCACCGGGGCTCTGCGTTCTGTGCATGCTGCCGAGCTCAGCCCCACCCTGAGCTCGCTGTGCCACACCCAGAGCACTGCTGGGCCAGCACTAAAGATGGGCTGAGCCTGGCAAGGCTGCAGAGAGGAGTGGGGCCTGTCCAGAGCTGGGCTCAAGCCTCCCTCTGGCTCTCCTGGGCAGCCTGCACGAAGGCTGCGTGCCCTGGTGTGATGGGAGCATAAGGAGGACAGCAGTAGTGAAGGGGAGATGGAGAGATCTGACTGGGATCTCAGGATTTGCTCCGAGTGCCACCAGAGCCAGCTGTGAAGGTGGAGGCAGTAGCCACGCTGGGGAGGAGGACCCCAGGGATGACAGGTATGCCTTCTTTCATTATCTGTGCTCTGCTGGTGCGGGAGGGAGCAGAGATCTGCAGGCAGTGTTTTTAAAAGGCTGCTTTAATCTTCAGTTAATGAGAAGGGTGCCCAGCTGGGTCCCTGCCTTCCTCCACTGCCACCTTTTCTCCTTCCCAGAGCTCAGGTGCTGGCTCACCAGCATGTCCTGGTTGTGGAAGGTGTCCCCTGTGGTGGCAGTGTCCCCTTCACGGTGACCGTGATGTCCAGGGGGTGGATGTGGTGATGGGCAGGTTCTCCACCACAAGCTCCCTGCCATCCCTGGAGGCAAGGAAGGCATAGTCCTTCCCCAGAGAAGCAGCCCCCCTAGCAGGGCAGCTGAGACATGGCGTGGTGTCCACCAGGGGCCAGCAGCACCTCAGGAAAGCCAGCAGGGCTGAGGTGAACCCAGCCCTTGCTCCTGCTTCCCCTGCCTAAAAGCTCTGATCTTTCCTGAGCACCGGTTCTCCAGCTGGTGTGGGGAGGCTTGGAGAGGCACAGGGGATCAGCACTGAGCCTGCTGGGCATTGTCAGGTCCCCTCAGCCCCCTGGTTTGGGGACAGCACCTGCCTGGCTGGCTGCTCTTCATGTCAGCTGGGGATCCAGTAGAGATGACAGGCTTGTTTCCTGAGGGCCACTGCTTTTCCTGCTCTGGTCCTGAGCCACTTTGCACTTTCAAGGGAAAGGAGCAGTGACTCAGTTCTGCTCTCCTACCATTTCTATGTCCCCGAGGGAAATTGCATGTGGGGAAAAACACACACCTCTGTCACAGCATGCTTGCAGTTAGGACAGTGCTTTTGATACCTGCCTGCCTGTGTGTCTGTTTTTATTTCCTACCTTAGTGGCCAGCTCAGCATGGCAAAGCAGGGAAGGGGTCCAGTGACTGCTTTCTGCAGGGATGGAAAACCCTGACAGTGAGATCTGCAGCCAAGCCTGTTGCTCTAAGATTGCTGAGGAAGTTGAAATCCAAGTCTCAGGCTCAAGTGCCAAGGAGGGGAGAGTTTATACCACAGCCTGATCAAGGTGGGAGGCAAAGGAGGTGAGGCCAGACTTCTCCAGCAAAGTACAGGACATTTGCAGAGTGAATGTTGTCTTTGTAAAATTTCATCTCCTTCTGGAAAGGCTCAAGACAAGGTCAGCCTGCCAGCCTGTTCCTCTCCAGCCAGCATAGCCCTCCACAACTGTGAAAGCCAAGGCAAGCTGATCCCTGCCCTTCTGCAAGATGCCTTCTGTGCCTCTTGAAAATGCTTTTTCGGTTGTCCTTGTAAAAAAAAAAATGGTTTGCATAATAAAGTCGATTCTGAGGGAAGATCTGTGACTCACATCATTCATGCTGCTCTTCATTCACACCTCAGTGGTTCAGCCCTCTGCAAACTCTCACAGAAGCAAGGCATTAATAAATCACGAGGGGGAAATGCACCTACACAGCACAAAAGCAGCTCAGTGCCTCCAAGCCCAGGCTGGTGTAGCACAGTAGTGGTTGTTTCTTACACCATGATCTTGTCCCTGTTGATATTTCCAAATACTCCCACAAATACCTTGCTGTATTGTTTCAGCAGCAGGATACACGGAAGGTAAAGCAGAAGGAATCTTGCCTTTCTCCCTGGCAAAAGGCTCCTAAGGAAAGAAGTTGGTGGCTTTTCACTGACTGTTTTGCTTGTGAAGCCAGTATTTTGTTAGCACCAAGCTGGTCAGATGGGAGATTGTGTCCCCCTGCCTCCTCTGATACTCCTGCTGCTGTGTGAATGGGTTCACCTTGTTGATCCAGTGGAAAACAGCCTGATGGTGAAGGAGGTAAATAGGTTCCTGTGGATCACCCAGCTGAACTGATTCATCTTCCCAAGGGAAGCAGCAGGATTTTGTGGCTTGGTGGGAAGAGCTGGAAGCGGCCTAGAGCTGAGTGTGTTGAACTGCCTTGTGGAAACACTCAGTCATGAAATGCGTGTTTGGATCCTGGAAGGATCATGTTCTGTGTGAAGTTTCTGCTCTCTGAGCAAACAGCTTTGCCTCCTGTACTGCTGCAGGTGCTGGCCTCCTGCACCCCCTGGAGGTGTCCCTCCTGCAGGATATGGAGAGAGGCTTTGATGTCTCTCGTGCAGGCAGGAAGGTGCTGTTCCTGCTCCTGGCTCCAGGAGTGCATGCGCTGTGAGAAGACTTGAGGAGTCTCCCAGGTTTTGGGAGCAGAGGAAAGTTTGTGAGGCCTCTGCATCAAAACACAGTGGGGATAAGAATGTGCTGCTGTGTGAGGAGAGGCTGCTCAGGCCCCTGACTCATATCCCCCTGTGCTGTCCCTGTGTTTTGGGATGATTGCACTTGTTGTCCTGGGCCTGGGAGAAGACAGTGGTTTCTCTGGGGTCTGAACAGAGTCCTTGATGAGCTTGCACGACCCTGAGCAGCTGGCAGCAGGGACACCAGCTCCCAGCAGGCTGTCGTGGTGAACTGTGGCCTCTGAGTCCCTCTCAGTGCTGGCCCTGTGTCCTGGCAGAGCTCTGTGTCCCAGCCCTGTGGGGTCTTGCTCTCCTGGTGGGATCTCCCTTGCCGTGCAACAAAGGGGCAGAAAGATGAAATCCATTGGGGCAGAAGGTTGGAAAGAAATATTTTTGGAGTCTTTTCTCTCTTCCTCAGTTGCTCTGTGTGGCTGCAGCTGCTGCTTGTGGTGTCTCTAGTACCTCAGCCCTGACAGGATGGGTCCTGGTGCCATGTCTCTGGGCAGACCCCAAGAGTCCTGTGGACCTCTGGCTCTCCTACCTGCTGTCCTACCTGACTGTAGCCCTGGTTTTTGGTGTTGGGGATGCATGTGGTGTCAGGAAGCTGGGTTGGAAAGCTTGGCTGGGCAGAGGCCAGCGATGGGGTATGGGTACCTGTCCCTGCTCAGAATGTCTGTGCCTTGTGTGTTGCAGTGTTCTTGGGGGCCAGGAATGCCCACTCGCTCCTGAAACGCTTTCCCAGAGCCAATGGCTTCCTGGAGGAGATCCGGCAGGGCACCATCGAGCGGGAGTGCATCGAGGAGGTCTGCAGCTATGAGGAGGTCAAGGAGGTGTTTGAGAACAAGGAGAAGACGGTGGGTGTGTCCTGCGTGTGTGTCCCAGGGCATGTGGGAGGGCTCACACTCAGCAGGCTGGAGACAGAGGGAAAGCACAAGGGGAACAGCCTCTCCTGTCCCTTTTGTCCTCTTCTGGCTGCAGGCAGCATGTTGTGGCCTCACTTCCCAGCATGACTTTCCCTTCCCAGGCATTGCTTTTGCCAGGACTCCCTGCCCACAGCTGCAGGTTGAGCTGGTGTTCCCATGGCACGTGTGGCAAATCTCTGCTGTTGTCCATGATTCTCTAGGCTGGGCTTGGAGTGGAATACATTTTTCCCTGCTTGCTGTGGGATATTGAGGGATGTTCCCAGGACCTTCTGTGTTGGTCCCACAGCACCTCAGGTCGAAAGGGTGGGGGACATCCAAAATGCTGCCCCTTCTGTGGGCCTGGGGAAAGCAGTGGTTATTGCTGGTGGTGGCTGGGGTCCTTCTCCCACCTGCAGCACGTGATGGTTGTTTCTCTGTTCCCGTCACAGATGGAGTTCTGGAAAGGCTACACCAGCTCTGTGTACTCTGTCAAGGACCCCGGGCACAGCACGGAGCGCTCTGACGCTATGTACGTGGTGGTGCCCCTCTTGGGAGTGGCTCTCCTCATAGTCATCGCCCTCTTCATCATCTGGAGGTGCCAGCTGCAGAAGGCCACCCGCCACCGCCCCTCCTACGCCCAGAACCGTTACCTGGCCAGCCGGACGGGCCGCAGCCTGCCCAGGGTCATGGTGTACCGGGAGCGCTCGCAGAGCCAGGGGGAGACCCAGTACCAGCGGGAAGCCAGCAGCCGCGGCGCCGGGGATGCCCGGGCCGGGGGCACCGCCCAGGCAGACGGCAACCTGTGCCCGCCCGAGCATTCCGTCTCCGTCCTCTCCAGACTGTCCAGCGCCACACCCCCGCCCTCCTACGAGGAGGTGACGGGCCACCCGGAGAGCAGCAGCAGCGGCGAGGAGACCAGCGTCTCCTACAATGAGCCCCCGCCCAAGTACGAGGAGATCGTGGCCACGGCCCCCGCCGCGGGCAAATAGCGGGTGTGCCTCCCTGCTGCCTCTGCACACTCTCACACTCACCCAGCCACCCTCCCTTCGCCGTGCCTGGCACCCCCTTCAGGCGTTCGTCAGGCCCCCATCTCACTTGTACAATCTGGTGCCATCACACAATAGCCTTACCCTCCTAACCAAAAATGGCTGTCCCCAGGTGGGGTGAGGCAGGGCTGGCTGTGGGATGGCTCTGGAGCCGTCTCCTGCCCCTCACTCCCCACTCACGTAAGTGCTGCAGCAGCCAGAGCAGAGCAGCAGCTTGTTCCTGGCTCAATGTGGGGCTCTCCCCATGGTGCATTTGATTTCCTCACTTCCCCCTCAAACAGACATAACATTTCCCATGATTAGAGCAGCCTTGCTGCCTCCCTGGGCTGCTGCTCAGCCTCACCCCATGTTCTGGGCCCTGATCTGCTCAGGGCTCTGATTAGGTGATGGAGATGCAGGATTGGTGTGGCAAATTTTTGTCCATCCCTGCAGTTGGTGGGGCCAGCTCTGTGGGGAGATGGTGATTCCCCCATGTGGATTTGTTGCCGAGTGGGAGTGGGGAGCCCGGGCCACACTGTGGTGCCTGTAGGGATATTTGCTGTGTGGAGATCAGGGAGGAGCAGCTTGAAGGTGCTCTCTGATCTCCTGGATCTCTTTGGAAAGGGAGAAAGGGCTCATGGTGGTCTTGTACTTGAGGTAAGTGACTTTGGAGTAGCAGGGCCTTTTCCTGATGCTCTCTGCTCTCCCCTGTGGGTGCTGAGCAGCTGGAGGTGTGGCTGCTGCAGAGCTGGCCAAGGGGGTCCTCTCTGACCCCGAGCCAACTGTGGTCTCATGTCTTTTAGTGATGGGGATTCAACTCTCTCCTGGAGCGTGGCCTGTCTGGTGTCTGCCCCAGAGGTGAGAGCCTGCAGACAGGCCAAACCTCCTCTCCCTGCCCCAAACCTCTCTGCCTTGCCTGGCCCCTCTCTTTGGGGCTCTTTGTCCTCCAGAGCAGGTACGGTGGAATGAGGGACCCCACTCTCCTCCTGACCTCTCAGGTGGGCTGAGTGTCCAGGGCTGTGGCCTGGAAGTCCTGCTCACAGGGGCAGGAGCCACAAGACCATGCCTTGACAGTCAGGAGCAGGGCCAAGCCCTGCTCAGGTGGTTGTGTTGCCAGGGCAGGGCAGAGCAGGGTACTTTGCTGTGGGATCAGTGTCCCCTTTCCCTGGGCAGCTGCCTGTAGGGTCCAGGCAACGGGGCTGTCCTTCCCCAGTCATGTCTGATGGATTAATCCAAGGGTTGTGCTCCAACCCCCCAGAAGCAGCCCAGAAGCTCCCAGCACTGCCACCACCCACTGTTCACCCAGCAGCAGCCTCTCCACCAGCACCAAAAGGCTATTGTCCATCCATCAGTGGCCTGCATCCTGCCTGGCCCCAGTGATGCCCTCCAGCTGGTGCCCTCAGCCCAGAGCTGGGGCTTGCCCAGCCTGGCTGCTCCTGGGGCAGGACATGCTGGCACCTCATCTGTCCCCTCCCCAGCCTTAGCAGGGTGGGGTTATGGGGAGAGCTGACAGCTCAGGGCCAGAGCTAGAGAACAGCAGAGGGAGACACAAGGGTGCTCTGCATCCTCTGTCTTTGATGCTCGGTCATTATCCCTGCAGTTTGTATTCTGTAAAACTTGGTATATTTCTGTGCAAAAAAAAAAAAAAAAAAAAAAAAAAAAGGTATTTATTAAAAAACCCTCACTGTCTGAGTGGCACAAGGTGGCTTTTTCCCACAAAGGGTGTTGTGGGGGACAGTGACACCAATAACCCCTGCCACAGCTGCTGGACTGTGCCCAGTGAGGATGGGAGTGTTCAGGAGTGAACCCCAAACATCCAGCTGGAGCCCTGAACTTCACCTGGCCATGTGGTGCACCCTCTGAGAAACCTGAAGGGTGTCTGTCCTGTGAGCCCCGAGCTGCCGGCAGGTGAGGTGCAGAAAGGTTTTCTGAGGGTCTTTGAGGGGATTGAGGTGCACAGGTTGTCCTGCCGTCCTCTCTGCGCTCCTAAACCCCTTAGATAATCCCCTTTAAATAGCAAGACTAGGGCAGCGGGGGATTTATTTTAAGTCCTTTCAAAGCCAGATTTTACGGTCAGGTCTTGGACCCTGTCCCCATTCAGAAGTGTTTAAACTGCCGTTAATCCCGAGGGGATCATTCAGCGCTGCGGAGGGCAGAGATTAGCTCGGGCACAGGGCGGCCCGGGGCTCTGCTGGGCCGGGGGCTGCGGGGAGCGGGGCTGGGGACACGGGGAAGGTCCCGGGTTTGCTTCTGCCCCTGGCGACAGCAATGCCTGTGTTCTACCACGCGGCTGAGCAGGGCTGGGGACAGCAGGGCTCCCGGGGGAGGTGGCACCAGAAAGAGTCGCGACGTGTTAATCACCGGCTGCGGCTTTAAGCGAGGAGGGAGCGGCTGGACACCGGGGGGACAGGGCTGGACACCGGGGGCCGGGCTCATTACCGGGGGCCGGGCTGGACACCGGGGGCGCCGGGCTGGACATCAGGGGGGCCCGGGCTGGACACCGGGGGGACAGGGCTGGACACCGGGGGGGGGCCGGACTCATTACCGGAGGCCGGGCTCATTACAGGGGGCAGGACTCATTACAGGGAGGGGCCGGGTTGGATACCGGGGGGCTGGGCTCATTACCGGGGGCGGGGCTCATTACCGGGGGCGGGGCTCATTACCGAGAGGGGCCGGGTTGGATACCGGAGGTTGGGCTCATTACCGGGGGGCCGGGCTGCCCCCGCCCCGCCCCGCCCCGGCCCGTCCCGGCTGTTTACAGGTCCGACAAGTTGCGTCGGTCTGCGACACACAGTAAGTGTCCCGTGTCCCTCCCCGGCCCGCAGTGTCCCCTTGTCCGCTCGCACGGAGCTCTGCGGGCCGCTGCAGCGACCCCGGGCCAGGGCCGGGATGTCCCCAGGGCCGGGAGGGCGAGGGACCCCCCCCCCTGTGCCGTGTGTCCCCGGAGCCGTGCCGGGGCAGAGGGCTCACCCCGAGCCGGGTGAGAGCCCTGCCGTGCCCGTGCCCCTCTCTGCCGGGACAGGGTGAGACCCGAGCCGGCTGATTTGCCCTGCCGTGCCCCTCTCTGCTGGGACAAGGGTGTGACCGTGTTCACAGGGGTTTTAGGATGAGGGAAGAGACGAGGATTTGACTCCATGTTTCAGAAGGCTTGATTTATTATTTTATGATATATATTATATTAAAACGATACTAAAAGAATAGAAGAAAGGATCTCATCAGAAGGCTGGCTAAGAATAGAAAAAGAAAGAATGATAACAGAGGCTTCTGTCTCAGACAGAGAGCCCGAGCCGGCTGACTGTGATTGGCCATTAATTAGAAACAACCGCATGAGACCAATCCCAGATGCACCTGTTGCATTCCACAGCAGCAGATAACCATTGTTTACATTTTGTTCCTGAGGCCTCTCAGCTTCTCAGGAGGACAAATCCTAAGGAAAGGATTTTTCATGAAAGATGTCTGGGACACAGGGGTGCCCCCGAGCCACAGGGCAGAGCTGGGAGCAAACCCCCTGCCCCCTCCAGCTCCCCACCCCAACGGGGTGTGCTGCACCAGGCCTGCCTGGTTTGGGATGTCCCGGGCTGGAGAGGGACAGAGGGAGGGCGGTTGTGGGGTTTCCCTCCCCAGGGCAGGTTTTCCTGGCTCGCAGGACTTAAAGCCACTCTGGTTTAGTGAGCCGGAAATTCCCTGTCGCTGCAAATCCAAGGAGAAGTGCCAAAGCAGAGGCTGAGCCTCTCCAGGCGAGTGGGGGGTGCTTGGCAAGAGCTCGAAAAAGCCCTAAAGAAAGTTAAAGGAGGAAATCCAGCCACTTAAGCGTTTTGTTCTTATGAGTTTAGACAGCTGATTTTTTTTTTTCCCTTTCTTAATAGCTTAGTCTCAGATCCTGCTTCTCACCCCCTCCCATCCCTCTGTTCCTTGGGAGCTGCAGTGGTTTCACAGGTGATTAGAAAATGAACAGCTCTGCCCTCTCCAGATTTACTGTTATTAATATAAGCTGGTTTCCCAGAGAATAGGCTGGGAATGCAGCACAGGCTGCTCTGCAGCACCACAGATGGGAAGGAGAATCCTGGTGCTCTCCATGGCTCTGTACCCTGCCCTGGGGCCTGAGGCAGGTTCCTCCTGTGGGGCTGACACATTCTGGGACCATCCCAGGAATTACTCTCCTGTTTCTGAGTAGGGGGTGCCTGCAAAAATCCAGTTTCTTTGGGGTTTTGGGAGAAGAAAAAACAGTTTCTTTGGGGTTTTGGGAGTGTGTGTGTGTGATGAGACCCATGGGTTGGGGCTGGCCAGGGTGGTGGGGATGGTGTGGGGCCCCCACTGTGTCCCCAGGACAGACCCAGTGTGGGACAGGGATTCTGTCTGCAAGCAGGGAATCACCACTCCTGGTGCTGGGCAAATCCCTGTGTAATTAAAAGGTTTTTAATGGCAGAGGAGCAGGTGAGTGATCACTGGAAGTGCTGGTTGTGGCAGTGCAGAGCTGGTTCTGCCACCCTCCTGTACCCAGAGCTCAAGGCCTGGCAGCTGCAGGGGACACATCCCATGGTCCTTCCCCAGGGATTTCCTAAAGGGTTGCAGGGGGTCCAAAGGGCCCTGAGGAGCAGCAGTGAAGGGTGTGATGGGTTGCCCTGGCTGCTGCTGGCTCCTCTTACAGTGGAGAATTTTTTCTAGAAGCAAAGAAGGACCTTTTTGGGCACACTGAGATCAAAAGGTGCCAGCAAGGAGGGTGCAGGATGCTGTGCATGCATGTTTGGAGTGCCTGGGCAGCACTGGGATTTAGGCTGGGCTCTTCCAGCCTCAGCCCCTTTTGCTTGTTGGGGTTTTCTCTTCAGCTGCAGCTTTTTAGGAAAGAATAAAGAGTGCATATGCTGGGAGCCAGGAAGGTGAAATTTGGGGATCCTCTCCCAAAAGTGTGCATTGATTGCCCTCTGCTTGTGGGGTTTGGTGAAAGTGTTGCGACATTGTGGCCCCAGAGCACTTCTCAAAACCCTGGGACTTGGCAAAAGGGAAACTGAGGCATGGGGCCACTGTGTGTACAGAGAGCTGCAATGCCCCAGGTGGTGTCCATGTCCCATTGTGGGAAGTGGATTTATAGGAAATTCTTAAAGCTCACTGTGATAACATCTAGTGTTAAAAAACCATCAAGAGAAAACAGAGAGAAAAAAGATTTACCCATCATACACGAAAAACTTACAGTGTATTGTAATTAAGAAATAGTTAATTTCTGATTATAATAGAATAAATTATAATATCTGTATTGTCTCATCCTTCACATGAGACTAGAAACAGAATAAAAGTTGGTTTTTTTTTTTTAATGCCTCTCAGTTGCCCCATCTCTAATTAAAAAAATTATAATCCAACATCCCATGTCCTGGTCCTGCTGTCAGCTGCTCCCAGGAGAGCTGGGGGCTGTGTCCCTCCTTGGTGCTGTTCCCCATCTGGAAGAAAGCCAAGTTTGGGGGCTCTATTCCATGCTGAGGAAGGGGATGTGTGGTTTTCCTTCCCCTCTGGGAGGGTGGTTCAGCATCTGGCAGCTCTGCTCAGGGCACAGTCCATCCTTGCTGGATGTGGGTTACCCAAGGAGTGCTGGATCAGGGGGGGAATGGCCCTGGGGATACTGCAGTGAACGTGTGTGTGGAGAAAAACTGAGCACCAAAGCCTTTCCTGTGGTAACCTGGAAGCCCATCATCAAAAGAGTGTGTTTTGCTTTTAGAAAACCTCATTTTTCCTCAAAGGTGTGTATGAACATAAAAATATGACCCCAGCCCTCCAGAAAACGTTACTTCTGGATGGAAAAGAATTTTTTCCACTAGCACTGGACTGTGTGCTGAGCCCTTTCCTTGCTCTCAGTTGAGGCAGTGGGTGCTAAGCTCATCCACAGCTCCCAGGACACCTTGTCCTGCCAGCTGGGCACTGTGGGACATCCCCTTGTCCCAGACCACTCCTGCAGGGTCTGTCTTTTGGCTTGTTTCTGCCTTTTGGCTTGTGTCTGCCTGTGTTTTAGCTGTCTTACAGCACCTTGTATTGTCCCTGTGCAGGTAGGGCTGTCCCTGTTGTCACTTTTGGAAGTGCTGCTCCTGTTGCCACTTTGCAGCTTTCTTTGGCTCTGTGTGAACCCCCCAGGACACCTGAGGACATCTCCAAAGATGTGTGATGGAGCAGAGCTCTCCTTAGGGGTAGAAATGAGCCAAGGCACAGACTCTCATTTAACAACATGAAAAGGGTCCTTTTTTATTATTCTTTACAGCTTAGCCATCCTGAGTGACTACAGCAAACTCCTGCTGCTGGCTTCTCTGACAGACTCTGCTGGCTGTTCCTGCTGGAATATGACTGCAAATGTTTCCTTGGTATGACCAGAGGCTTTTACCTGGTTTGACTGTGACTGCAAGCTCTAATTTTATGAAACCCAGACTGACCTCACAGCAGATCTTTTGTAGCAGCAGCTCTCTTCCTTTTTTTATTTCTTCGCATCTCTCTGGATTATTCCTTCTTCCTCAAGCTCCTCTTGCTCCAGGCTCTCCCTGACCAGCCAGCCCACCCCTTTTATCACCCTTATCTTCATTAGTCACAGCTGTGACCCATTCAGGGCAAGGCTGTTCTTTGGTAATTAGCCCAGCTGTGACTTTCCAGGGGTGCAGTCCCTTGTAATCCCTCCCTCTTCACCCCCAGATGTGGCCACTTTGGGGACTGGACCTGAACCGGGCGCGCTGTGACCTGCTCTTCACAGAGGCCATCAACCAGAGGATGCAGGTTCCCAGCAGGCTGAAGGTGGCAGAGAGCTGCAGCCCTGGGGACAGGGGGACAGTGGCAGAGGAGGCAGAGGATGTCCCTGCCTCCTTTAGGATGCACATCCCTGAGAGGATTTCTCTGGCAGGTAAAGCCCTGGGTTGTCTTTTGGGGTGGGGCACAACATCTTGGGGAGTAGAAGCCTTTTATAACCCCCCCTTTTTGTGTGCTTTGCTAAAGGAGAGGATGGGGGCAGATAATGCAGGCAGTTCCCTTCAGGAATGCAGGGTAGGATGGTGGATGGCTTGGGAAGAGGTGGGAAAAGGTCACCAGCAGAAGCCTGGAGGGGACTTAATGTTGTCATTATAGTGCAAGAGTTCTATTGTCATTACACTGCAAGGGTTCCATATTACTGGAGTTTTGCACCTCCTTGATGTTTCTTGTAGGCAGCTCCTCTAGGCACTGCCTCTTCCTTGTCCTCACAGCAGCCAACTAACTCCAGTTCCCCTCAGCCAACCAATCCACTCTTTTTTAACACTCTTCCAATTGGCTACAGCTGTGGCCTATTAAAATCAGGTCTGCTCCTAATAATTTAGTAATTAACCCAGCTGCAACTCTTTAGGGGGTAAGATTACTTTTTATATTACTTTTATTTACTTATATTCTATCCCCCTACACCTTAATTCCAGTAGGTGAGGAGAAAAATGTGGAGGCATCTCCCTCCACGTCCCTTGCAGTTCTCTCTTGGCCTTTGGTAGGGTCCCTGCTTTGGGATGCAGGGTGTTTGGCCCTGTCTTTGACAAACAGCTCTGAAACCTTGCTGTCCTGAAGCAGTGGCTCTTCCTCTCTGGGCTGCCCAAAAACCCCAGGGCATGGTGTTCATCTGGCACCAAACACAGGCTTGACTCTCCACTGGGTGCATCTCTCTTCCCTCTCCTGAGGCCATTCACGTTGGCTTAATTCTTCCCTCTCTCCTTCCTGCAGAGATACCAGACACCGGTTTGAGGCCAGTGCTGCTGACCCAGCCAAGGAAGGTGCCCTCTGTGGTGGTGCACGTGTCCCCAGAGCCCTCTGGGGACGTCCCTTTCCTGCCCCCAGCCAGCAGAGCCAGCGCCCAGCGACGCAAGCGAGCGGTACCGTGTGGGCAGGGCCGGGCTGCTGGGGTGGGGAAGGGGAGCAATCCCAAATTCGGGGTTCTCCAGATAGCTGCTATCACCCCAAGGCAGGATTCATCTTCCAGGAGGCCCTAGGAGTGAGGGGGTAGGGATGGTGGGGTCTCTTTCTGACCCAGAGCCAGTGCACACCTGTGTGCTGGGGCCTTGATCCAGCCACATCTCCTGCTGCATTTTGGGGGCAGGCTAAGGTAGCTGCAGTCCCACCACTGGCTGCTGCTGCTTTTTAAGTCCTGTTGTCCTTCTTGATGAAGTATGTGGCAGAGCTGGTTCATTACAGCAGTGTAAAGGGTTCTGGGGTCAGAGCCAAAAGCAGATTTTAACCTTGTGTGAGAACCTTTCAAAGAGAAGTCCCAGGCATGGGCAGGCAAAGGCTTGATTTATTTGGCTGCTGGAGCTGCTGTTCTGCCTCCTCAAGTGCTTCACCCTTCCTGAATCTGGAGAGCTGATCCTGGGTGGGTTAGGTTCAGGGGTTTGGATCTGGCTAGAGTTCAGCTCAGCAGGCTCCTGCTGGGGACCCTCTGTCTGCTCTGGGCACATCTCCCCACCTGCAGTGGCATCACCAGGCTGGGGCTCCTGCAGAGCTGCCCCTGAGTGCTCTCCCCGTGCTGATGGGGGCTCCAGGCTGGGCTCAGCCCTGTGCTGACGTGGCTCTGTTCCATTCCCACAGGGCCACCACAGCAGCAGGGCACGGAGGGACAGGGCCCCGAGTGACAGTGCCCAGCCAGCCTTGCACAGCCCAGGACAGCACCACGAGGGGTGAGCACGGGCCCAGAGCACCCAGGGTGGGTGGGGAGCAGCATCTCCTCTCACTGGGCTGTTTTGGGGCTGTTTTGGTGTTCTGGGAGGGGCCGGGGGGATCCAAATCAGAGCAATGCAGTGCCTGGCAGGTCCTGCTCATCCATGAGAGGAATGTGGTCTTTGCTGCCAGAGATGTTTGTGCTGGGCAGCTTTGAAGGCAGCTGTGTTGCTCCCCAGGCCTCTGCTCAGGAGTCTCTGCAGTGGGGAATTTGTCTATGAGCTAGTGCTGGAGCAGGGACTGCTATCCCCCTTGAAGCCCAGAGCTGCCCTGGGTGGCAGGAGAGCAGCATGGCAGGCACACAGCTGTGCTTGGCTTTGGAGGGATCCAGTGTCCCTCTGAGCCTGAGGGCTGCTGGAGAGGGTTCTCCCAGCTGATGCCATCTGGGTGCCAGTGGCATGGCCCAGAGCTGCTGAAGGGACGAGGGGCAGTGCCTCGTGCCAGGCTGTGCCCCCCTGTGTGAGACAGGGAGTAACAGCAACGATTCTGTGTGCACCCAGGCCAGGCTCCTGTCCCCTGCCTGCTCCCAGTGCCCCACTGCCCCTCTTCACAGAGGCAGGCAGGATCTACTCCATGCAGAACATCTTCCAGACCATGTACCTGCTGGGCCAGGTGCTCTTCCAGCGTGTCCAGGACTCTCTGCGGGACCCGGCGCCGTGCAGGTGACGTGTCCTGAGCCAGCTCTGTGTCACCCTGCAAGGACTGGCCTGGGCTGTGAGCTCTGGGCTGCAGGATGCTCCTGCATGGCTGCCTTGGACTGCCTTGGGTGCCAGGCCTTGGTGAGCCTCACTAACCCAGCCTTGACTCTGCTGCTCAGCTTAACACCAGTCCCTGGGCACCCTGAGTGCCCTGTGCTGCTCTGGCATTGCTGGGGGGTTGCTGCTAAGCAAGGACTGATTTTTCTGTGTGCTTTTATAGCTTGTTGGAGAGGGGTGTGTGAAGGGAATGAAAACCCAGAGCAGATGGCCTGACCCAGGTGCTGTCCCTGAGACAAGACACACCTTTGGCTGTGTCTTGGTCACTCTTAATTAGCCTTTCCCTGAACTGGCTGCACTCATCCCCCAGCCAGTGCCCTGGCCAGGCTGTGGTGTCCCTCTGTGCTCCCTGGAGCAGGTGTGCAGCGGCCTCAGTCCCTGCAGATGTGCTGGAGGAACCATCTCCACCACCCTCTTCTGTGCTGCTGCAGTGAATTCTCTTTGCTCAAAGACATCCTTGCAGCCTTAAGGTGTCCCCACTGCTCTAAGGCTGCTGAGCACCTGGAGGAACATCTAAATACTCCTCATTCTCCTTGAGCAAAGCCTCCAGGCAGAAAGGGAGGAGAAGCAGCATCCATCATCACATCCATCATCGGGGGCACATCCTGCCTTCCCTCCCCTGCTGCTTGCTGAGCATCCAAAGTGATGTGTCTGCTCTTCAAAACTGGAGGCTGAGGTTGTCTTCAAACATCATTTTAATTTCTTAATGGCCAAGAGATCTGGTTAGTGGCTGCAAAAGACCTTTTCCCTCCTCCCTGTGGCCCTGTGGAGGGCATGCAGGCCACGGTGGCCTGCAGAGCTGCTGTGATGCAGTGGGGTCACTCTGGGGCTTCTCCCCAGGGACTGATCTCCCTTTGAAAGCAGCCACCCTCAAACACCTCTTCTTAGTGCTTTACATCCCTTCAGTATGACAGCTTTGTACCCCTGTGCAACAGTAAAAAAACCAAAAAGACTCTGCTGACTTGTTTGTCCTGAAATTTTAGCAAAGTCTGGTCTCAGACAGAGCTGGAATATCTGGCTGACAGTGACCTCTTGAAGGGTATGAGTCACCAGAAGGCAATTTCTAGTCTCTACTTTAAAGGGTGTCTACCTGTATCAACTGGGATTTTGAGTGAAAAGCTGCAGGATGTGTCCTTTTTTCATGGTTCTCTACTGGGGAAAATTGCATTTTCTTTCTGTTGTGACTGTCATTTTACACTGCAGCTACATTTTGTGCAGGTATTATCTCACAAATGGAGTTTCAGACAGGGATTCAGTGGATCTCCACATGCTCTTCTGGCTTGTCTTCAGCGAGATCAGCATCATGTTGCAGAGATAAACACCCTTTCCTCCCCAGGGCTCCAAGGAGTGGGGTTAGGGGCTTGGTAACCCCTAGGGGATCACTGAGTGCCTGTGTGAGTTATTGGTGTGCACAGGGGAGTTTTGGTGATAGAATAGCTGACTTCCTGTCATCCTTGCTAGCCTAGGATGACAGGAATTTATATTTTTCTCACTTTGGATCTGCTTTATTTTATGAATCAGTGGTGTGGACCCTGCAGTGAGGCTGTGCCTCCAGGAGCTGCCCTGGAAATCAGTGGTCTGTGCTGCCTCTGCCAGTGCAGCAGCTCATTCCAGTGGGGGCCCCTGTGTTTCCAGGGAGGGAAGAAAGTGCTGAACATTTGGGTTGCTTGTTTATGTTTCAAATTGCAGGTAAAATGTGCTACAAGAGCAAAAAGTGATAGTTCCCTCCAGCTGATGGCAGCTTCCTCACCTGCTGATGCAGACAGGATCACCCCTCCATTTCAGCACTGTCCTGTCACACCTGCTTACCTGGCTGGCTCTAAAGATGTTTTATCCAGCCCCCAGTGAACTCCTGGCACTACAGAGGATGGATGCTTAGTAGAAATGTTCTCTCTCTGTTGCACCTCTAAAGAAATACAAACCTGTGTTTCCTGTTACCTGTCCTGGCACGTGCTGTCTGTCTGTCTGTCCGTCTGGCCCCTTTGGGTGCATGCTGGAGGGGTACTAATGTGCATGGGGGGGTTCAGGAGAGATGAGTGCATCCTGTGCAGGGGCTGTTTGCCTTCTCCTGGTGCAGCCCAGCCTGGGCACACACTCCCTGCATTGTGGTGTTGTGAGGTGAGAGATGAGAATTTGACTCCCAAGTTCTCAGAAGGCTGATATATGATATGATATTCATTATTATATATTTATTATACTAATCATTATATTATATTATTATATTATATCTTATATTATTTACTATATTCTTATACTATATAATTTATTACATATGATATGATATGATATGATATTATATTATATTATATTATATATTGTATTAGAAATTATATACTAAAACTATACTAAAGAAAGAGAAAAGGATACATCAGAAGGTTAGAAAAGAATGGTAATGAAAGCTCGTGACTGACTCCTCAGAGTCTGACACAGCTGGCTGTGATTGGTCTTAATTAAAAACAATTCACATGGAATTAATCGAAAATGCACCTGCTGGGAAGCCATCTCCAGACCACATTCCCAAGCAATCAGATAATTATTGTTTTCATTCTTTTCTGAGGCCTCTCAGCTTCCCAGGAGAAGACATCCTGGCAAAGGGATTTTTCAGAAAATATCACAGTGACACTGCATGGCTCAGCTTCCTGTGGCAGCACTGCATTTTTGGGGGTCAGCTGCACCCCACGAGCAGTTCTGGCCCCCCTGCATCTCTGCTTTCCTTCCCAGCTCCCAGGAGCCTGTCCCAGCTGCAGAGAGCACCTCGGAGGAGGCGGGGGTGACAGAGGTGGCAGCAATGAGAAGGCAGGTGAGATGGGGGAAAGGGCTGCAAATGCTTGCTGGGAAAGCCACAGGGGATGGGTGAGGAGGTGCTGGGGCAGCTGCTCAGTCCTTGTGGGCTGCTGCTGTCAGCCTGGTCCTGCCTTCAGGAGAGAGCTTACATGTGTGTTATCCATGGAGCTCCTACCCCGAGGGGCTGCAGGACCCAGCCAGACCCATCTGGTGGCACTGAGAGGGGCTCAGATGCTCTCTGATGGGGAAGAATCCTCCTGAAGCATCTGCTGCAGACCCGAGGTGCTGCTGCCTCTCCTCCCACACAAAGGGAGCTTCTGCTTTAGAGAAGGAGGACCTGAAGTGTTGGGGAAGATGAAAGAGGAAAGCCTTATAGATATGATTGCCTGGCAAAAGATTTTGAGAATATGGAAACTATAAGTGAGATTGAAATGAAAGCAAGCTTTGAGATACCTCAGCTACTGAACACCTGGAAAAAACAATGGTGTGGCCAGCTGAAGGTGATCCCCTTTTGATGGAACAACACCCTCTGCTTGCAGACAGGCCCAAGGGTCAGAGCAGACCCTGCCAGCTTGGCAGAAAGGGCCCAAAGAGGAGTTTTTAGGGTTTAAAATGTAACACAGTATGGTAATGTAATGATTCTTACAGGCTGTATGGAAATGCTGTAGGATTTGTATCTAGATTTGTACTAGATTGGTTAGTGAAAATTTGAATATTCAACACAGAAGAAGATTTATGGTATTGGAATGGGAACTTCTCTCTCTTTTACTCTTTTGCTCTCTCTCATCCTCTTTACCACGCTCTTGCCTTCTTTCTCTTTCCCACTCTCTTTCCCTCTCTCTCCCTCTTTGGGATCTGCTCTGAGCTGTGGCTGGAGCTCCCAGCAGGGCCCTGCACCCCGGCCCTTTGCAATAAACCCCAAATTCCAAGTCCTGGCTACAGAGATCTCTGCCTCTGTCTATCCTGACCGTCCTAGCCCTGCCACTCCTACACTGAAGGAGCAGAGCTCCCCCTGTGCCTCCCTTGCTGTGCCAGGGGAGGTGACAGTGCCCCTCTGGGTGCTGACAGTGCCCTCTGCTTCCCTTGCAGCTGGCCAGGATCTCGGGGAGGCTGCGTGTGCTGGAGGAGCAGTGCCACGCCTGGAGGCAGAAGGAGGCCCTGGTGTACTCGGTGATGATCTCTGCTTGCCTCATCAACACCTGGCTCTGGCTCAGAAGATGACAGCCCATGCCCAGCCTCTCCTGCTCGCCTGGCAGGGTGGGTGAGGGCAGGCAGAGGAGCATTTCTCGTGTACTCTGCCAGCAGTGAAACTCATTTTTCTTGCTTAGGACTGCTTTCTGCACTGTGGGCCCTCAAGAATGTGTGTCCTTCAGGCCTTGGTGACAGTGAGGGTGTGAGAAGCTGCTGTGAAGAGCTGAGGTCTCAGAAGAGCTGGTGGCTGGCACAGGAGGTGTCTGCCCTGTGCAGTTGCCCTCAGGCTGCCAGAGGAGATGCAACCCTGAGGAGCTGGGTGTTTGTGGGTGTGGATTCCAGTTACAGTCACAGCCTGGCCATGTCCCACCTTGGGGATCTCAACCCTGACCCCATAAAAGTTCTCAGCTAACTGCTGTGCTCTATTCCTCACCTTCTCTGGAGTGACTGAGGGTTTCTAAACTTCTGCTGGGTTTTCTTTTCTTCCTTGTGCAACTGCTGGTTGGTGGAGGTGATGCTGCCAGTCTCCTGTGCCACAGCCCCCCTTGCAGGACTGGAGTGGAGGGGCCAGGAGCTCCCATCCCTGCAGCCACTGCAGGTTTGCAGATGTTCACATGTGAGAGTCTTGCTGACATCTGGGCTTATCCAGGGGCTTGGCTCTTTCCCAGAGATATTTACATGGGAAACCTACCCATGGTGACTCTCTGGATTATAAAACCTCAGAGCAAACAGCAATAGCACCAAACAGGGCAGGGAAAATAGATATTTGTTAGGCTCCCATGGCAGAGGGGAGTGGAGGAGTGTCTCTCCCAGGTCTTGCTGCCAACCTGCAATTTCAGTCACGATGGAAGAACATGGTGAGGGAAATTCCTGACCCAGATGCTCTTTAGCTGTGAACAAGCTCAGTTTAACAGCTTTCCTGTTTGTTCCCTTCTCCAGAGTTTATTAACACTTGGTTCTGAGGTGACTTTGAGATGTTTTTGGTGGTTCATCCAGCACATCTGCTGGAGTTGTGCACGCAGGCCCTGGGGGCAGGTTTTGGCAAGGCTTAACAGGACCTCTCTGTGTCACCTGTACCTAATTATAGCTGGATCTCTATGTCATCCAGATGTCCCAATAGCTTATTTACAGACATCAGTGCTCAGGTGTTTTCTGCTTGACACCGCACCAAGCGGCCGTGACTGTGAATTTGGCAGGGACTGATGAATATCTGTCCCCAAGAAATGGCAGCTCTGAACCTGGGGCTGATTGCTGAGCTGAGGACAGGACAGTGCTGGCATTCACTGCACACCAGAGCCAGGGTGGTGTGCTGGGTGCTGTGCTGTGGCAGGGGGATGTGCAGGGTGGGTGGCTCCTGTGGCAGGAGGACCTTGCACAGCTGTTCTGTGTAAGGGGGTGTGAGTGGGGCCAGGAAATGGGGTGAATTGTCTGTTTTCTCTCCTTTGAGAGGTGTTAATGTGTTGTGGAGGAAGCTTGCGTTTGGGGTTTATTTTGGGCTGGGGAGGGATGACTTTGGGAAGGCACACCACCTTCAAAGTGTGGCTGGAAGGTGTTTGGAGGAGAGGTGGCCAAGCTGGATGTGTTCTCATGGGCAGGTTGTGGGAAAATATGACTTCTATGTAAGGCATAAATGCTGGTGTAATTCTGGAAACACTGACCCCAAAATGCATATTTTAATAAACTCTTTGTGTTCTGGATGTGTTTATTTTCTGTGGAGTCTGGTGCTGATGTCCCAGTCAGTGGGAACAGGTAAGGTTGATTCCCTTGGCAGCAGGACTGTCACCTCCTCAGGGGTGTCTCAGCTGCCCTGGCTGAGGGGGAGTCTTGAGTAGAAAAGCTTCTGGTTAATGCTGTCCCTGTTGGAGAGTGATGCTTTTATTTCCTTTTTTCTCTTCCTTTCCTCCTCCTCCTGGCTGCTTTGTCCCAAGGCAGCACACGTGGCAGGGCTGGGTGTCCCCAAGGGCCACTGCCACGACAACTGCACAGCAAATAAAGTGCTTTGTGCACGATGGTGCTCGAGGGAGCAGCTCTGGAGCTCCCATGTTCCTTTTGGAGGCAGCTGCAGGCAGGGAGCAAAAAGAGAATTGGAATAGAGGCACGTTGCTGCCAGTGCTCCTGGTGGGCTGTCACCTGGAGTCTGTGATGTGGGGACAAGAGCAGGGTGACATCCTGTGCTGCTGGGTGCTCGCCCAGGAGCCCCAGCCAAGGCTGGGAAATTCTGTTTGTTCCTTTGGACTGCCTGCTGCGTGGGTGCTCAGGGAGATCAGAACAAGTGGAATTCAAGGCTTTGAAGGGGAAAGGAAAAGGTAAACCTTTGATAGCAAAGATAAAAGAGACTCCAGGTGCTGGTGCTTTCAGATCAGCCCTGCACAAGGTGCAGGACTCCGTGTGCCTGTCAGGGATGGATCCTCAGCCACTGCTAATGGTTACATCCTGAGAGAGAGGAGAAAAGCTGACCTCTTCCTGACTGCCTTGGGGATGCAGATTTCTTGCTAACTGGGCACTAGAATGACTTCCTGAGCAAAATAAGAGGGCAGAAATTGGTGAAAGGTGCAGTTCATGATCACCTTCAAACTCAGCAGCTCTTTGCTGGGACTCCAGAGCAGCACTTTGGTCCTCTGCTCTGCCAGCAGGTGAAGAGGTAAGTGGGTGTGAGTGTGTTAAATATGTCTGCTTTTCCCAGTTTTCCATCCTAGCAGCAGCTGTGGCACACCTCTGAAGCAGGGATAGAATCACCAGTTTGCTCTTCCCCAGGGCAGGGGCTGGGAGGGGAGTGGGAGCAGAACCCTGGGCAGCAATCTCTGGGTGCATTCCCTGGTGTGGCAGCACCTGAGCCCAGCTGGGGCTGCTGCCTGTGCCTGTCCCTGGCTGCACTGAGAGCCGGGACACAGAGCAGCTCAGCATGGCTGGGATGTCCAGGACACAGGGCAGCTCAGCATGGCTGGGATCTCTGGGACACAGAGCAGCTCAGCATGGCTGGGATCTCTGGGACACAGAGCAGCTCAGCATGGCTGGATCTCCAGTGGGCACTGTCCTGGAGTTGTTGGGGTCCCTCCAGCCCTCAGGAGGTGATGGCTGGGGGGAGAAGGGAACACGTGCATAGGGAATGGAACATCCCCGAGCAGCACGTTTCCCTCCTCCCCTTCCATCCCCAGACACGGCTGCCAGCTCCTCACAGTGTGCCTTGCTGCTCAGGGCACGGGGGCTGCTGCGGGGTGGTGACAGCCACACGGGGTGGGCACTGTCCCCCTGTCACCGTGCCCGTACCTCTGCTGCTCCTGCCCTACCTTTGTGTCTGAAAAGCCCGAGGGAGCTCCTGGGGCAGGGATGTGACCCTGCCAGCCCTCCTGAGGCAGCAGCGCTCCAGGCTCCGGGGGACACCAGGCTCATAAGTAGATGGTGGTGGTGGCACCGGTGGCACTGGTGCCCTAGGGAAGGGAAAGGAAAGGAGACAAGGAAAGTAGACAAGGAGAAAGGAGAGGAAAGGAAAGGAAAGGCAAGGAAAGGAGACAAGGAGAGGAAAGGAAAGGAAAGGCAAGGAAAGGAGACAAGGAGAGGAAAGGAAAGGAAAGGCAAGGAAAGGAGACGAGAGGAAAGGAAAGGAAAGGCAAGGAAAGGAGACAAGGAGAGGAAAGGAAAGGAAAGGCAAGGAAAGGAGACAAGGAGAGGAAAGGAAAGGAAAGGCAAGGAAAGGAGACAAGGAGAGGAAAGGAAAGGAAAGGCAAGGAAAGGAGACAAGGAGAGGAAAGGAAAGGAAAGACAAGGAAAGGAAAGGAGACAAGACAAACAAAGGAAAGACAAGACAAGGCAAAGCATAGAGAAGCCAGGCAAGGCAACCCAAAGCAAGGCAAAGGAGGAGGAGGCAGGCAAGGCAAGGGAGGGGTAGGAAGGACAAGGCAAGTAAAGGCAAGGCAAGGGAGGGGAAAGCAAGCAGGGTAAAAGGAGGGGTTGGAGTGGGAAAGGCAAGGCAAAGGAGCGGCAGGCAGGGTGGGGAAAAGGAGGAGTGCACAAGGCAAGGAATGGGAAGGGGAGGGGCAGGCAAGGCCAGGTAACAGAGGGCAAGGAGAGCAGGAAAGGCAAAGGAGAGGTGGGCAGAACCAGGGAAGAGAAGGAAACAGAGGTGTTCCTCTGGCAATGAATGAGGAGCCTGAACGATGAGGAGAGCATCTCTCATGGCTCCAGGCAGCTGTGGGATGGCTTGGAGGACTCCTGGGGAACATGGTGTGGGCCCCTGCCATGGTGTGGGACCCTCTCTTCCCACTCTGTGCTGGATTCCTGTGTTCAAACCTGTGATGTGTCCTGCATGTGTTTCCTGTTGCTGTTCTGTGCTTGTTGCAGGTCCCTGGGGCAGGGTGTGTGCCCCTGGTGCCCTCTCCCTGAGGATGCCAGCCAGGAGCAATGGTGTGCACAGCTCCCCAGCCAACCACCGGCCCGAGGGTGGCACGGAGGGGACAGGGCTCAGCACCAGGTCAGCTGCTCCCTGCTTTGGGGAGGGGAGGGAAAGGCCTGGCATGGGCACTGGCACAGACACCTTCTCTGAAAAATCCTTTTGCTAGGATTTTTTCATCCTGAGAAGCTGAGAGGCCTCAGGAACAAAATGTAAACAATGATTATCTGCTGCTGTGGAATGCAACAGGTGCATCTGGGATTGGGCTCATGTGGTTGTTTTTAATTAATGGCCAATCACAGCCCAGCTGGCTTGGACTCTCTGGTCAGTCACAAGATTTTATTATCATTCTTTTCTATTCCTCGCTAGCCTTCTGATGCAATCCTTTCTTCTATTCTTTTAGTATAGTTTTAAAATATAATATAATATAATATAATATAATATAATATAATATAATATAATATAATATAATATAATAATAAATCAGCCTTTTGAAACATGGAGTCAAGATCCTCATCTCTTCCCTCATCCTGGGACCCCTGTGAACACCTGCACAGGGCAGGGCTGTGGTGCCCAATCCCTGCTGCCAGCTTCCTCCAGTGAGCCTCTGTGTGTGGTGGCACAGAGTGGGTGTGATCCCCTGTGGGATCACATAACAGAGAGAGAGACACAGGCTTGACCAGGATTTCCTGGGGAAGGATGTGGGAAAACTCATAAGAAAAACAATTCTTATCTTCACTTGCTGCATCTGTTGTTTGACACATGTGGAATGTGTTATGGAGATTATTTAAAAAGGGATTTCTTAATTAGTGATATTGTTTTAATTTATTAACCAATTAGGTCAAAACTGTGTCGTGACTGTCTGTAACGGTCACGGGTTTTTCTCTCTATGGTATAGTATGGTGTTAATATAGTATAACTTAATGAAACATTTACCCAGCCTTCCACAATCGTGGAGTCAATACTCATTATTCTGAGGTTCACTAGTACAATAATCCCCTTTTTCCCACAGCAGGACCTGCTCAACCCAGGATGGCACCAGCTCGGAGCTGCAGAGAGGAGCCAGCCTGCGTGGGGGGGAGCAGAGGGCTGACCATGCTTTCCAGGGCCAGGGAGCCTTGGCCAGGTACTGGCGTGTGCCCCTGGGGTGGGTGAGCCCTTTGTGCACAGCCCTTTGCTCTGTGGGGTGAGGATCCTCTTCTGCTGTCTGGAATTGATGGATGAGCATCTGTGAATGCTGCTCTGTGTGCCCCGGAGAGGGTTTTGGTGTGGGATGGCTTCACCCCCACAGGGCTCAGAGGCTCCTGTCCCTGCAGGCAGCCTCCCTCTGCCTCAGTGCCCCACAGATCCCTCATATTCCTGTGGGAGTGGGGTAGAAGTCGTGGGACTCTATCAGGGTGGCCTCTATTGCTTGTATATTTTTGGTCCCACATCATCACTAAAAGGGATAAACCACAAATTCTAGTGCTTGAGTGTCACAGACATCTTTTATGAAAAATCCTTTTGTTAGGATTTTTTCTCCTGAGAAGCTGAGAGGCCTCAGGAACAAAATGCAAACAATGGTTATTTGCTGCTGTGGAATGCAACAGGTGCATCTGTGATTGGTCTCATGTGGTTGTTTCTAATTAATGGCCAATCACAGTCAGCTGGCTCGGACTCTCTGGTCAGTCACAAGATTTTATTATCATTCTTTTCTATTCCTTGCTAGCCTTCTGATGAAATCCTTTCTTCTATCATTTTAGTATTGTTTTAGTATATCATTTTATTTTAATATAATATATATAATAAAATAATAAATCAGCCCTCTGAACCATGGAGTCAAGATTCTCATCTCTTCCCTGGACCCCTGTGAGCACCACTACACTGGGAGGGAGCTGTGAGCGTTTTCTCCCCAGCTGCAGCTCCCCTGATGAAGCCTCTGTTGAAGCTTTTCTCTGTCCTTGCTGTGTGTTAACCCCTGGTGTGCCTGTCTCCCCGTGCAGGATAGTCCGGCTGGTGCTGGTGCTCAGGGACTGGGCCAACAAGAGCCTGCACGAGGAGCAGCAGAGGCCAGACCCCTTCCTGGAGCGTTTCCAAGGCCCTGAGCTCCTGACAGTGCCTGCAGGAGCTGCTGATGAGCTTGAGGATGAGGAGACTGAGAAGTTAAACAAAAAGTAGGGTCCCTTTGCTGTGGTCCCTGCCATCCTTGGCTGGGGATCAGTTGTGTGTGGAGCTCGGGGCTCCCATGGGGGTGGGAAAGAAGGATCTGGGGTGGGGTGGTGGGAAGGGTCCCTCCTGCCCTCTCCAGCCCCTGTCTTGGCAGCCAGCCTGGCTCTGCTGGGCTGTTTTGCTGACACACAGGAGCTGGTGGACTGTCCCTGTGAAAATTTCAGACCTGGCCTGTCCTTCAGCCATGGGATCTTCTCTCTCCTCGTCCATGCCCTGGTGGGAAACACATCAGACCTCCCCAATTCATAGCAGTCCCACACTAGGGTTGTTTTTGGAGCCAGCCCTGGGTCTGTAATAAGATGCACCTTGTGCATGTGAGGGGCTGGGCTCCACCCAGCAGCCACTGCATCCCACCCAGGAGCCACAAACCTGGGATTTGCCAGTCTCATTCATCATCTGCAGCATGAAGGCAGTGTGTTTGCTGCCTGTGTCCCCACAAAGAGCAGCTTTGTGAAAAAGCTCTTTCAAATCCAGCCCTTTCATCTCCTCAGCTCACACTCCTGGTGAGAAGCAATAACCTGGCTTTTCTTCTGCTGGCTAATTAGAGGGCAAAGCTCACAGACTACCCTGGACCCTACCATTATACATGGTAATTAAAACACCAAGAAATAATTGTTTTCTGTAGGAGAAAAATAACCTGAGCCTTGTATATGGGTCTTTACCAGTAATGGAAGAAAAGGCTGTTCTGCCCTGTGAGGCTGAAGGGAGCTTGTTCATGCCTAGAAGGAGCTGAGGTGTGCTGGGAAAGGGCTGCTCAGTGCCACTGGGTTCTGGGGACCCCGTGGGAGCTGCTGGGGTTTTCTAGGCCCTCATTTCCACAGGTAAGAAGAGCCCCAAGTCTGGTAATGCCACACATGAGCTGCTCATGGCTCCAAAGCCTTTGGGGAGAGGCAGATGATTATTCCATCTTCCTGGGTTAACTCTGTTTTTCCAGTCCTGGCTCTGCTGCCTAGAGTCAGTGATTCTGGCCCCCTGTCATGGCAGCACTGGTGATTTAAAGCTGAAATTACCAACACCATGAACAGCATTGCTGAGGTTTTGGTGGCTGTGGGTGCTGGCTGCAGGTGAGTCCTTCCCCTGTGGCACTGCTGTCTGTCCTAGGGAGCAGAGCCCCTTTCTCAAAAAGCAAATGTTCAAGCTGCACTTTCTGGTTAAAAATAAGCCCTTTCAATGGGGAGGCTGGACCACCACTTGTCTGTGGGTGCACAGAGGGTGAACATGAGGGACTGGGGCTGGCTTTGAGCTGAGTGCCAGGGCCCACGCTCTGGGCACTGCTTGTACTCCAGGAAAAGGAGACTTCCAAGCAGGGGTTCTGCCTTTGAAGCTGCCAGAGTAATGGGGTGGGCATGGGGAATCTGTTGGCAAGTGGGTTTTTTTCCTATCACTGGAGGGAGTTTTGTGTTCAAAAGCTGGGAGAGAGGGAAGGAGGGAGAGGCTGTTTTGCCCCACCAGGCTGCTACAAACCTATCAACCCAGCCACAGAGTTTCTCTTCCCCAGCTTCTCCATTGAATCTGGCAAGTGGAGCGCACGCTCCTTATCTCAGAGTCCCAGGGCGAGCAGGATCAAACACTTGGGAGCAGTTCAAAGGCTGCAGGCCGGGCTGTGCAGCCTGCAGGAGGCACAGGAGCAGCCCTGCCGTGCCAGCTGCCCCCGGGGCCACTGCTCTGGGGCTTGGGCAGCCCCTCCTGGAGCTGCCACTGATCTGCAGCACACTTTGCTCCCTGTTCCAATTACTTTTCTCTTCAGATGTGCCTGGCACGGGTCCCCGCCTCACCTGGGAGAAGCAATGTCATGTACAACAGGAGAACTTTTCTGATCCCCCCCTTCCACACATCTGTTCCTGGCTCTGCCACGGGGCTGCTGTGGCATGTGGGCCCCCTGCTTTGCCTCACCATCCCACAGGTTCCTCTTCTGCTGCATTCTCAGCTCAGTTTTAGGAATAAAGGAACCTGAACAGTGCTGGGATTTGGCACTGCTGGGACTGGTCCTGGCTCACAGGCTGGTCCCCAAGCTGCAGCTCTGCTGGAGGCAGTGTGGTGCAGGGGATGAAGGACGGGGCTCACATGGTTTGTTCCAACCCTGTTTTCCACATTTCCAGGAGGAAATGGCTGTTCTTTGTGGTGGACCCTGCGGGGGACTGCTATTACCACTGGCTGGCTGTGATTGCAGTTCCTGTCCTCTACAACTGGTGCCTGCTCGTGGCCAGGTGAGCTGGGAGGTTGTAGGGTTCCTGCCTCCTCTCACCCTCCTGATCACCTGCTGGTTGTGGCTCAACCAGGACCAACCTGACCCTGCTGGGCACTGAAAGGAAAGAGACTCTTCCCATCACTGCCAATTCTGGCCCAGCTGGAAAGGGCCTTGGTTTCAGGGTCATTTGGGAGGTGGTTTCAAGATGCTGCTTTACCTCCATCAAGGGAGGGCAGATTTTTCAGAGCAGGGAGTTTTAATTCCTAAAAGAGGGGTGTCCAGTGGCCAAGCTCTGTTGCAGAGTTGGACACTTCAGGATCAGCCAACATTCAGCTGTAATAGAGAAGATGTGGGGATTTGTGGTCTCACACCCTGTTTGATGACCTTTCTCCACCAGGGCTTGCTTCACTGACCTGCAACAGACCTATTTTGTGCTGTGGCTGGTGTTGGATTACATCTCAGATGCTCTCTACCTCGGGGACACAGTGATCCGCCTGCACACAGGTGAGCAGGAGCTTTCCTTTAATCCCTTACAAGTGCAGATGAGCAGCAAGGGACAGGCCCAATCCACACCTCCATTAGAAGGAGGGTTTTGCCTACCTCGGTGTTCACTAGTATGAAACAGACTCCAGAGAAAGAATCTAATTAGAAGATCTGAGAAATGGAGCAAGTTTCAATATGAAAGATTAATCTTCCCAGCTTTCAACTTCACCTTTGAATAATTGTACAAAATTACCTGCATTACTATTAGTATTCGGGCATAGTTGAAGGTCTGTATCTCTGATTTTGCATCAGCTCAGCTAATGAATTATCTGCATGGAAAAATGGTAGAATTTAATGTTCTCGGAAGGCAGCACTTGGCTCTACATTTTCTGTCAGAACTGCAATAATTCATGATCTGGAGGATGAAAACCTTTGTGCTCCTTTTTCTTCGTGGCAAGAGACTAAATCCCTGAGTCATATCTTTGGGTGGCTTTTGCCAGATGAAGGTCTTGAGTGATAACAAACTGAGTAGAGCAGGAACTGGTAATGTTTGGGTGACCCTGTGAATTTATGCATACAAATCCATGGCATACTATTGCTCAGGTGCTCACAAAACCTGCAGAAAAATTAAACTTCAACCGAGATAATCCTATGATTTGCTTCTCTTTAGGGTTCTTGGAACAGGGCCTCCTGGTCAAGGACCTGAAGAAGTTACGGGCTAACTACATCCCCACGCTGCAGTTCAAGCTGGATGTTCTCTCCAGCCTGCCCACAGACCTGGCCTATTTTTGGGTGGGGTTGCACTGCCCTGAGCTGCGTTTCAACAGGCTGCTGCGCTTCTCCCGCATGTTCGAGTTCTTCGACAGGACCGAGACCAGAACCAGCCACCCCAACATCTTCCGCATCAGCAACCTGGTTCTCTACATCCTGGTCATCATCCACTGGAATGCCTGCATTTACTACGCCATCTCCAAGGCCATTGGCTTCGGGGAGGACAGCTGGGTGTACCCCAACGTCACAGAGCCTGAGTACGGCTCTCTGACCCGGGAGTACGTCTACTGTCTCTACTGGTCCACGCTGACGCTGACCACCATTGGGGAGACCCCTCCTCCTGTGAGGGATGAAGAGTACCTCTTTGTGATCTTCGACTTCCTCATCGGCGTCCTCATCTTCGCCACCATCGTGGGCAATGTGGGCTCCATGATCTCCAACATGAACGCCACCAGGGCGGAGTTCCAGGCCAGGATCGACGCCGTCAAACACTACATGCAGTTCCGCAAGGTGAGCAAAGAGCTGGAAACCAAAGTCATCAAGTGGTTCGACTACCTGTGGACCAACAAGAAGGCGGTGGACGAACGGGAGGTCCTCAAGAACCTCCCTGATAAGTTAAGGGCAGAGATTGCCATCAATGTTCACCTGGAGACGCTGAAGAAGGTGAGGATTTTCCAGAATTGTGAGGCGGGGCTGCTGGTGGAGCTGGTGCTGAAGCTTCGCCCTCAGGTGTTCAGCCCGGGGGATTTCGTGTGCCGGAAGGGGGACATTGGGAAGGAGATGTACATCATCAAGGAGGGCAAGCTGGCCGTGGTGGGGGACGATGGCACGACACAGTATGCTCTGCTCACTGCAGGGGGCTGCTTTGGTGAGATCAGCATCCTCAACATCAAAGGCAGCAAGATGGGCAACAGGCGCACGGCCAACATCATCAGCTTGGGCTACTCTGATCTCTTCTGCCTGTCCAAGGAAGATCTCATGGAAGCAGTCACAGAGTACCCTGATGCCAAAAGGATCTTGGAGGAGCGTGGCAGGGAGATCCTAATGAAGGAAGGGCTGCTGGATGAGTCAGCTGCAGAGGAAAGCACAGAAGGGAAGAGCGTGGAGGAGAGGCTGGACAGGGTGGCCTCAAACCTGGACACGCTGCACACCCGCTTTGGCCGGCTCCTGACCGAGTACAACGATGCCCAGATGAAGCTCAAGCAGCGCATCACTGCTCTGGAGTCCAGGATGAGGCAGGAGGAACTGGAGGATTTCTTCTCTGACAGCTCAGACAGTCTGTTTGAGGATGAGGAGAAAGCTTCACCTGGTGGTGGGATGCAGTGAGGGGGAACAGAGTCAGCTGGATGATGTCTGACCTGGTGCTGGGGCAGTGTTTGCTGTTTCACAAGACAGACCCTGTGGCTGCCTTGCCAGGGCCTTTTCTCAGGTCCTTAGCACTGCTGCTGTGGCACTGCCTTGGTGCCAGCCCCTGAGGTGGCTCCAAATCAGGGCATTGTCCCAGCTCCTCCTCTGTCCTGTCACTTTTTTCATTGCCTTTTGGGTTCAGCCTTTATAACTCACTCCAGGTCATCAGTCCTCAGTGAGTGTCTGCAAACACTGCCTAGAAACTTTACCCACAAGGTTCCCAAACTCAGCTGAGACAGGCCAAACTGTGCCTCTGACATCTGCAGACAGAGAGGCTCATCTGGGTCACTGTCACTGCCCTGGTCATGGAGCTGGCATGGCCTGCAGCTGCTGCCTCTCTCTTCTGTTGTTTGGTGCTGCCAGGGGGCACTGGTGCAGGTGGTTTGGTGCCCTGAGCACTGCACCTGCCTGCAGACAGCGTTCCCAAGCCTCCTGCTGTGGAAGCAGCGTGGGTCCCACTGGGGCTGTGGGTGCCTTGCATGACCAGTGCAATGCAGAGGAGTGGTGCTGGCAGTGCTAGAGTCACACAGAGAGCAGGGCTCAGGCTGAGAGTATCTCTCTTCTCTGTCTAATGACAGACAGGACAGGTCTGACTGAAAGGATGTGTTTTTAAGGAATAAAGCCATGGTGGGAGCCAACTGTGCCCATATTTGCTTGGCTGTGGGTAGCTCAGAGAGAGCACAGAACACATTTATTTTCTTAGGCAGGGGGTTTTCTTGTACTCAGTGGGAGTTTTGGGGCTTTGCAGGCTGCAGAGGCCCCTGCCTTCTGGAGGAGAGATGAGTGGCAGAGCCACAGGGACATGTGTGAGGGTGGAAATGTGGCACCACTGTGAGAGCCAGCAAAGCTCTGCCAGGCTCTGCTGCAGCCATGGGTGCTCCATGGTGTGAGCAGATTGATGGAGAGGGAGACAGTGCAAGGACAGCCCCAAACCCCTGCAAGCAGCAGCAGCACCAGTGCAAGCAGCAGTGTCACCCCTGCCTCAGGGCATGGGGCAGTGCTGGGACTGGAGGGTGACACCTCAGTTCTTGGTTATGGACCTGTGAGCCCACTGCACCCATGGAGTGGGCTTGGGCTGGTTTCCAAGCAGGGAAATATTTGGTGCAGAAGGGAATTCATGTTCTGGGTCAAATTGAGCCAAGAGTTTGGTTAAAATGATGGGAGGACACACAGGGAAATATCAACCCAGAAGGGTTCATAGTGGAAAATGGAGGGTGTTTCCTTTGTTCTTTCTTTCCCTCCAATATAAGACTGCCTCTCTGAATTTCATATTAATGTTTTCCATTAAAAAAAACCAGCTTTGCTTTTTGGGATTGTGGCATTAGGAATGGTTACATTACCAAAATTAGAAGTTGGAGTAAGAAAAAACGTTTTTCATCATCTCTGAATTAAACGGTAGCATTTCTGGGTTTGTTGTTGGTTTTTTTTTTTTTTTTTCTTTTATGATCAAGATGCTCTTGGCTAAAATCGGGGTAGTTGCAGTTCCTACTCCTTATAATGCCACGAGCCACGGCTCCCAAATTCCCCTTTCCTGGGAGGATCGGTCATGGATTTGCAGCTGGAACTTTGCAGCGCCCGCCCTTTACCCCGCACCGCCCGTTCTCCCTCCCTCTCCACCTGTTCCCTCCCGCACCGCCCGTTCTCTCCGGCACCGCCCGTTTCCCGTTCTCCCCGCACCGCCCGTTCCCCGTTTCCCATTCCCCGTTTCCCGTTCCCCGTTCCCCGTTCCCCAGCCGGCGCTGCGGTGCCGCGGGCGGGCGGCAGAGGGCGCTGTGGGCCGCGGAACCGCCGCGCCCGCGCGGGAACCTCCGGGCCCCGACCGTGCGGGATGGGGACACTGAGTGAGACAGAGGGAACACGGAGTGCGACAGAAGGGACACTGAGTGACACATCGCCGGGCGGGACAGGGGGGATCCTCAGTGCAACAGAGGGGACACGGAGTGCGACAGAGGGGACACGGAGTGCGACAGAGGGGACACTGAGTGACACAGAGGGGACACTGAATGCGACATCGCCGGGCGGGATAGGGGGGATCCTCAGTGCAACAGAGGGGACCCTGAGTGAGACAGCGTCGTGCGGGAGCGGGGGGACCCTCAGTGCTACATCCCCGTGCAGGATAGGGGACCCTCAGTACGACAGAGGGGACCCTCAGTACGACATCGCTGTGCGGGATCGGGGGGACCTTCAGTGCGACATCCTCAGGGAGGGATGGGGGGACCCTCAGTGCGACATCCCCGTGCAGGAGCGACCCTCAGTGCGACATCCCCGTGCGGGAGAGGGGACCCTTAGTGCCGCAGAGGGGACCCTCCGTGCGACATCCCCGTGCGAGAGAGGGGACCCTCAGTGCGACATCCTCAGGGCGGGATGGGGGGACGCTCAGTACGACACAGGGAACCTTCAGTGCGACACGAGGGACCCTCATCAGTGCGACATCCCCGTGCAGGATGGGGCATCCTCAGTGCGACATCCTCGGGCGGGAGGGGGGACTCTGTGCGGGACTCTCCTTGCGGGCAGCAGGACCGTCCAGGCGGGACCGTCCTTGCGGGCGGGACGCTCCATGCGGGCGAGGGGACGCCCTGTGCGGGACCCTGCCTGCGGCACCCTCGGTGCGGGCTCGCAGAGAGCCAGGGGGCGGAGAGCGAAGCCTTTGGCAATGCCACTACGGCTGTTTCTCGATGTCCCCTCCACTGCCCTGCGCCAGTGGCTCTGTCCCGTGTGTGCCCCTGCCCCTGGGCTCTGTCCCGTGTGTGCCCCTGCCCGTGGGCTCTGTCCCGTCCATGCCCCTGCCCCTGGGCTCTGCCCCATCTTTACCCCCGCCCGGGTAGGAGCAGGGGCACGGATGGAGCAGAGCAGCTCCTGCCGCGGCTCGGGAGCTGCTGGAGGCTGAGGGAGCTCTGCGTTACCCCCGGGGATGGGCAGAAAAACCAATCAAGGCCCCTCCCTCCCCCAGTTTTAATCCGAGATAATAATGCACTCGGGAAATTTTAAGCCTTCAGACAAATGACCCCAGGGGATGGCTTTGTGAATTCAGAGCAGATCCCGCTTGTTTCCTCAGGGCGGCAAGCCAGGAAATCATGGATTGATGAACCGCTTGACGGGCCTGCTAATGAAATTAGCAGCAGCTCCATGGTTTTTTTCAGTGAGCAGGACAGGCAGATGTTGGAGGGAAGCACACAGTGGCACAGCTGCACTTGCAGGCTGCCTCAATTCCCAGCAGAGCAGACATGGGGCTCAGCTTTGAGATCCAGCTTTGGCTGCTGCCCATTTTATAGGTGGTTTCCCTAAGGCTCTCCTGGAGATGGGGAGCAGAGAGCTGGCAAAGGCATCCAGGAGGAAAAGCCCACTGGAAGGGTCTGCTCAGCTCCCTGCAGAGACACAGAGCTCTGAGCTGCCTTGTCCATTTATTATTAATCATTTCCTCCTTTTGGCTCTCTCCAAAGACAGCTTCTGTTGTAGGGGGGTTTCTCAGCTGTGTGTTGTGGATGGGAGACATCAAATATGGAGCAAATATATTGGCTTTGGGAGAGGTCATGCCAGGGGAAAACATGTACTTCACCAGGCAGCCACCCATCCACCCCCTGACATCTGCAGCAGATGTTTCCTATCAAAGGATGCATCTTCAGGCTGGCCTGCCTGCACCAGAGCTGCAGGAAAAGGCCTGGGATGCTCAGGTGGATCACCCATAACTCCATTGTGCCATACTGGGGTGAGCATCACTTCCAGGAATTAAATGGATGTCACTGGATGATACCAGAAAAAGCTCTCACTGCCCTCTGGGTGTGCAGGTGCCCATTTCACAGCTGGGGAAAAGGAGGGAGCCTGCCAGGACACCACAGTGATAACTGCTGCCTCCCAGCTGCCTGCTTGTTGCTCTTAAGGTGCTCATGAGGAGGCCCCTTGGTGACAGTGAGCAAACCCCACAATAGCCTCTGCTTAGGCTGTGGGCAGCAGGGCTGCAGCACCAGAGGCCATCTGGCTTTGCCCCTTCTCCAGAGCTCAGTGAGGTCAGCAAGCTGCAAACCAGGCTGGAGCAGTGGATTTGGGCATTGCAGAGAGGGTCTGGCCTGAGGCCTGAAGCACAGCAGGCCCAGCCTGGTGAGAAGATCTGTGTGCCAGGGGCATGGTGTGAAGCTCAGGGGCAAGCTCCCATCTTGCTCTGTCATCCTGACCATGCTGTGGCTTTCCTATGGGCTGGTTGCACCCAAATCTCTTGAAAATCAGGAAAGTTTGGAGGCAACTCCAGCATGGGCTTCTTTTAGAGCTTCCTAGACAGCTTTTCTTCCTGCAGCTCCTGCCTCCTCTGCACCCAGGGGAGCCAGCACTGCTGCTGGTGCTGGAGCTGCTCTCCCAGGAGCGAGGCACTGAATGCAGAGGCTGCTGCAAGTGAGATTCCACCCCTTCCCAAGGGGCTGGCACGTGGAGGTGGTCACCAGCCCCCCGTGCAGCTGCTTCCTGCAAGGGAAATATCCTGCTCAGGCTCCTCTGGGCTCAGGAGCTCTGAGATCAAAGCACTGCCTGCTTCTCCTGCAGGGAGAGGGAGGCTCCAAAGGAGAGGCTCTGCGCTCAGCTTGTTCTCGTGGTCCTTGGGTGGTGCTGGATGTGCCATGTGCTGGGGCTGCTCTTGGGAAATGAATGCCTGGAGAAGCAGGAGCCCCTGCAGAGCCCTGGGGGGGCTGCAATCTGGCTTTTCTTTGAGCACTAAAGGACCTTTCTGAGGTGTGGTGTCCTCTGGAGGGCAAGGCTGGTGCTGAGTGCCCAGCATGTCCCAGTTTTGCCCTGTGCAGTTAAACCCTCTATCAGCCCCTGTCCATGCGGGGTCCCAGTGAGGGGTGGGCACTGCCACCACCCCCATGAGCACATCTGCCAGCCATGAGCAGCAGGAGCAGAGCGGATGGAGCTGCACCCCTCTGTGGGAGGCA